CAATCTTGTCTTTAAACTTGATTTTTACTTTTTTAACCGATTTTTTGCTGTTTTAAAAGCTTGCTTCTCTGAATAAAGGACAATACTGTGTTTTTACGAATGGAGAAGATGCTACAGTTCATTTTCCGAAGGTCATTGTTGAATTTTTTGAAAAAATGCGCTTCCGCTTAAGATGACTTTAACCCTTCTCTTGCCCAATCGAAGTGATTGTAGCAGGAAAACAGCAGTGTCAGCATCATCATCGGTTTCAACTCAAAGATCCGTCGCCTTTGCGGTTTTGCTAAATCTCTGTGTTGTTCGATTGGTAGCGACCAATATGTCGTCAATATACACAACTACATTTTTGCCTATCAAATCTCCTGAAACATCTTCAATCATCCGCTCAAATAAGGCGGGCGATGATGCCAATCCAGAAGGTAATACGTTAAACTCATAATGCCTTCCTGGTGTCGAAAACGTGAGCACTGGTTTTGACTTTTCGCTTATGGCACATTGCCAACACCCGGACATATGGTCGAATTTGGAAAACCATGTTTTAGCTTGGAGGCTATGCAGTAAGATATCAATATGTGGCGGGCGACATGCATTAGCTTTTGCTACCTGATTTACTTGCTTATTTTAAACACGAAATCTCAGTGTACCATCGAGCTGTTTCATCAAAACAATAGGACTGCTCCAAGGGCTCGAACTAGGACGAATCACATTTCAATGAGTGACCGCTCGTCTTGCGGAAGAAAATTATAGCGGAATCGAGTTCCGATTGTGGGATTCAGAGAGGGAAATTCGGTGGTTCAGTGGTTGCAACAATTCTCCTGTCTTATTCGTTCTCGCTGTTTGTAATCCTAATGTAGTTTCCAAAAAATCAACTATTTATTCGTTACCTCAGATATAAGCAGAAGAATGTCCAACGTGCCAAATCAAAAGAAATGTCGTCATGTAGCGGCGATAATACCAGTATCCAGCGGCCGAAAACACCAGCCCCAGGCTCCAAACCTCATCCAAGTATTGTGGGTCGCCATCTCCCTGCCGAGACCGCCACCTCGTTTCCACGCAGTTCCAAAACTACGGCCCTGTCACCGCTCCTCCCTCTGTTTTGTCAACATGTTTTCATGTTTGACAAAACATCACATGTACAAGTCCAAGTAAGCATATCAAGAAAACATCACCATATGTGCATATCCGCGACAAAATAAGCGATGATTAACTGCTGAGAACCAAAACACAAACATAAACCACCGATATCTGAAACTGTTTTGAAAACGTCGCTTAACGCGACAGCTCGCTTGAAACAATTCATTTTCCTTTATGCAAAATTCACGGTGGTTTAAGACAATGACTGTACGAGTTAAATGTAAAGCAACAACCATTCATGCAGTAAACGATCTGTGTAAAGAAGATACAACTTCTGGAGGACTGCGAACAAACAGTTCAAACCTAATTTAAAAATTATATCCATGTTTTATACGTGTGTTCTGCAAGTGCACTTTCATTCCATGTAATTATATGTGATGGCGCCAGAAATATGAGTCAGCTGGAGGTGGCTGCTCACATTCCTCAGCGGACCTAGGACTTCCGCCATGATGCCCATGCCCCGTAGGAAGTTGGACTTCCGGGCAGTACCGATGGCTGGCGATCGTCCGAAGCCCCTCGGCCAAATTCCTCAAAGTAAAAGGCAGTACGGGCCTCAAAGGCCCTATGAGGGAATGGAAAAGGGGGCCAGGAACAACGGCCCATTCAGCGCAGGGTATCGACCGGCAACAGTCGCACCAACCCTACATGCAGTAGGAATAACTAGAGGTAGGACGGCGGCCATCCAGGATCCAATGAGCTAGTGAAGAAAGGGAAATAAAAAAGGTCAAGATTGTTGTGACGCATATTTAGAGAAACAGAGTGGCATGAAAAAAAAATT